TCAAGTGTAATGAAAACTGGAGACGATCACGATAGTGGCTGGACGCTGATGAGCCACCCAGACACTTCTCGATGGCAAAAACCCATCAAAAAAATTATGGTTATTGTACGGTCATCAGCGGCAGGTGTAATTCGTTATAACTTTCTGCAACCGGGTCTAATCGTCATAGCGGACTCCTATAGCGGGGAAAACGACGAAATGTATCGAACATTGCGTCAGCAGAAGCCTGCACTGGTGTACAGAAGAGGCCGACACTGCTACACGACAACGCCCGTCTACACGTTTCACAAATCACCCTTCGATAATTTAACTAATTGTGCATCAAAGTTCTAACTCACCCACCACACTTCCCAGACCTCTCGCCAACTGACTACCATCTTTTCAAGCACGTCCATCCCAATAATCAAAAGAGGGCAAATCTGGGAGACTTTCATCATTTTTTCAACGACCTGGAGGCAGATGAGGAGACATTTTTCCAGAATTTCCGAATGACTCAGATTTTCTAGATATTCTAGAGCCTGCCTTCACAAGCAACTCAAATTTGCTGTCAAATCATGGAATAACAAAACAGAGAGACAGAAACTTTCTAGGCACGTTTGCACAAGTTGATGCTGGCAAGCGCTGGCCGGCAACGCGCACACTTGGCCAGTCCGTCACAGCAAGTACCAATATTTGCCGGACAGGATCATAGAGCTGAAATTCTTTCCAGCGGTGGACACTCTTGGCTGTGCCGTGCCGGGCTAGTGGGCGGATGTCCATTTATTTTCATTGTTTCAACCCTATACGTATTTTGACGGAACGGGCCGGGCTGTGTTGTGCCGGACAAGTGGGCGACAACCTTTAAGCTTGTCGTCCACTTGTCCGGCACGGTGCTGTCCGTCGCCTGATGGCGACGGATAGTAGCATCGCCCACTTGTCCAGCTACAACCAGCATCCTGAAGGTGCCGTTTGTTCGATTTTAAGGGAATTTCACCGTGACAGAAACATGTATATCACTAGCAATTCTTGTGATACACTGTTTGGAACCTTTGGTGTAGTAATGAATAATACTGGAGTTTTCTCCCAACACCAAACCGTTATTTCAACACCTCGACACGTGTTTCGATCACCAAGTGATCGAAGATCTTCCTCTTGAAGATGATCACTTGGTGATTGAAACACGTGTCGAAGTGTTAAAATAACGGGTTGGTGTTGGGAAAAAACTCCAGTAATATTTACTAGCAATTCTAACGAAGAAGTCGTCATTATAGTGGCCGTATTATTGAATGTAGAAGAAAATGTTGTGGGTCCATCCCATTAGTCAAAAGAGGGCAATTCTGGGAGAGTTCCATCATCTCTTCAACGATCTGAAAAAAGACGAGGAGAAATTTCTCTAGTATTTCCGAATGTACCAGCTCAAATCAAGGAAGTATCAGAACTGAAAGAACTTGTGGGTAAACTTTCAAATGATGAAGACAGTTCCCAAATGTCAAATGCAACTAGTGTATGTCAGATACCAGATATGAAATAAGTGATATCGGAAATGGCAAGATAGAGCTTCGAACATGATAATTTACAATATAAAATAAATCACTGAAAAATACTCGAAATGAATGTAACTCAGGAGATAAGCAGGCAACTGAATACATTTTGGAGGATTATAATGTCAACAAAAACAGCATTTAGGCTTGGAAAATTCAATGTAGCAAAAATCAGGCCAATTGTAGTTATTCTGAGCTCTCCAGAGGACGCTTTACTAGTTTTGAAAAGCAAATCAACAAAAATCAATAAAATTATCCGGAGACCAAACCAAAACTCAACAAGAATATTTTGAACGAATTAATGCCAAACTTGGAGAGTTCATAAAAAATGGTGATGATTCAAAAACAATAAAATTCACCAACAATAAAATTCACCAACAAAAAAATGCACCAACAATAAACCAAATTGTTTATTGTTTATATCACAACACCTCTAGTTTGCCAATTTGGAGAATCACATCGAATATGGCTATAATCATCCAGTTTGATTTCTAAATCTCAATTTCACTTGTTATTCTAGCCTCACTAACTAGAACTACTTTTGGAGAGTAATATAAAATGCTTATTTGAATTTGGTCGATTTTATGCAGTAAACTTTGGGCGTTGATGTATACGATATCAGTAAAGAGGTGGATATAAGGGTCCTTTATAAGTTTTTTCGTTGTGAAAAGATGTGAAAGATGATGTACTGTGTTCAACAAAGAAGACTGACACTTTAAGATATAATTACTGGTACAAGGTCACAAGGGGAAATTTTGGTGTGTCAATGGTTGGCTGGTTGCCTTTATCACTCTACATCTAGCTCGAATATAATTTGATGATATCTTTGCCAGTGATGAGCATTGCATTATTGTAGATTTTATTTTGGATATATTGAATATCAGTTTTTACGTAAAAAAATCAAATCTATGGTTTTGTAGTATGGAATTGATCAACTAGTACTGGATTCTACCAAAATTACTAATAACAGTGAGACTCTAGTTAATAATAATTGTGCAAACTGTTTTGTCCATCCTACTCCTAAAATAAGTGATCATTCATTAATATCTATTTGTCTCAAAAATAACAAACGAAAGCACTTCTAAACATGTATATCACTAGC